AGATAGGTTTTAATTATAATAAATGCAAGATAATGCATGTGGGTTTTCATAATTTTAATTATAAGTATAATTTGGATGGGAATATCCCTAATATTGTTATGAAGGAATGGGATCTTGGTGTAATAGTCGATCAGTCTCTAAAGCCATCCAAGCAGTGTGCTATTGCTAATGGTAGGGCAAATAGCATTTTAGGTTATCTACAGAAATACTGAATACAATTCTAAAGAGGTTATACTTTCATTGTACAGGTCACTGATTAGGCCACATTTGGAATATTGTGTTCAGTCTTGGGCTCCTTAACTTAGGAAAGACACTGACTTGTTGAAAAGGGTTCAGAGAAGGGTTACTAGAATGGTGCCTGGGATGGAGGGGTTTTCATATGAGGAGAGGCTGAAATCTCTCAAATTGTTTTCTCTTGAATGAGTTGCCTTCAGATGATGTAGAGGCAGTAAATTTAAGTGAGTTTAAAAAAATCTTAAAAGTATATGAATGATAAGGGCTGGCTTTAAGATTTTTTTAAAAATTACTTTAAATTAGTTTAGAGGATGGAACAGCCGAGATGGACCAATAGGAACATGTTGTCTCAAAACATTATATGTTAAAATAAAAATTACTTTGCATGTTGGATAGGTATGAGAAAAAACCTCAAGACTTAATAAAAAAATCTGATATTTTGTGTAATAAAAGTCTTGTAATGTTTACTGATAATCTACCAACTTTCGTGAACATATGCTTACTACTTTAAAAGTTATAGCATAAAAACTGTAACAAGAAAAAATGCTTACGAGGTCGGCCCCAGAGACCGAGCCCATGTTGAAAGAGTTAACATGATTAACATGCTGAATACACAAGCTCATATAAAAAGTAGAAGAATATTTAAAAATTAGTAGTTACAGTAGACTTTATGGGTGGAGGATGGATGTCATAGTAGTTTAGACAGCTCGGTGGGGATTTTATTCCAGTATATATATATATTCATTTCTACTAATATTAATACTAATATGAGTTTTTTTTGTATCATAATGAAGGCTGGAATGCTAACTTCAGGAAGTAAGGTTTTTTTACTCACAACCTGCAATGGTAGTACCTTTTCTTTTTACTTATTTTTTCAATTTTTTTTTGTTTTCTGAGAACAGTCACTTTTCTACAATTGTCTGGAGCCAGTGAAGGGTGTTATAGATAGGGGACATAGTGGGCTTGAGCATCAACATCTTCCTCACTTTTCTTTATTTTCTTATTTTACTCTCCTATTATTTTTTCTTTAGATGTGAGGCTTCATAAACACAGGTTAAGACTGATAGATGATGTATCCCCACTGCTATGTGGGTCCTACTTCTTCAGTCACCTCCAAAGATCAGGATACATCTTATACTCCACATTAAACAAATTGAAAACAATTTTGCTTGTGAAATAAATTCTCGTTTTTAACACAAAATTTAATTACTGCTTATGACCAACCTTATTGAATGAGCCATGATAAAGGAATATATTTCATTTAAAACTGACATCTCATATGGCCTATAATGTTCAAAGAACCCATCAATCCTCTCATCAGGAAACAAAGCTTGATAGACTTCAACTATTGTGTTTTTGTGTCCTTTGATCACTAAAGAAACAAACAAGAACAAAAAGCTCATGTGCAATGTTACATGATAAAAATGTCTTATTGACTTATTAAAATTAACAGAAAAGTTTAACAGCACCTGAAATATTGAAAATTATTACTAATATCCTCAATCTATTATAGAAGTAACAGTTTTTCTCACTATTAATATTTTAGTAAAACCATTAATATGAATCAATAAGCAATGCAGTAAAAATTTATAAACCAAACCATCTACCAGTAAGGTTAAATTTACTGTCAAGGTCACAAAAAGTGAAAATGTACCTGAAAAAACAATTAACTTGGACTAACCAAACTGATAAAAATATTCATCATCATATATAAAAATACCAGTGTCTGTGTGTGATGCAACTTAAAAACCTTTACAAACCAATAGATGGCATCTAAATGCATTATTCTTGGTGTTTTTCACTCTCTAAGAGTTTTTTAAAAATTCATAAAAAAGTTTTATAAGTATTTTTTATGAAATGTTATACATCTTTGAATTTACTCTTGACTCTCCAATTCTTTGCATTTGTCATCACAATTAATAAATTGCAAGTTCTGTAGAAATATTTGTTCTAGAACTAGTTTTTTTCACATGCTCAACTCTATAATGCTTTATCAAGAAACAAGTTAGAACACTGAAATATACACAAGTCCAAATTCTAATCAAGGACCATTTGCAGGTGATGACAAAATAGACAAAATTTTTTTTGTGAAGTACCGAATAAAAAACAATGTAAGAGAATTCAATCTATAAATTTTTAAAACAAGAGAAAATAATAAAAGCAAATGAACTGTCAAGTTGGAAAAAGTGATTTAATTAGTGAATAAAATGCTGGCTCAGTCAATTTGCTATAATGTTTGTTTGCTAACCCTGATGAGAGATAAAAGAGTTTTAAATATCAATATTTTTCAACTAAAAACGTTAAAAAAACAACAACATATTTTCAGAGTATTCTAACTCCTTAAACCTGGGTGGATACTGTTAGCTTCCAGCCAAAAATGCCAATTTATCCATTGGATGGTAATGGCATATACCATTTATATCTCTTTGGCTGAAAATTAATCCAAAGCATGTTATTATCCATTGTAAATCCAAAGACTCACCACTGTCCCACTAGGGGGACAACAATAGAAGAACCATCTACAGACAGGGATGTGGGAAAAGCTAAAATGGATGTGCTCCAAGGAGTTGATTGGCTGGGGTGCAATGGACTGTACACAGCCAGTCAACTCCAGTCCAAAACCAGCAGTATCAGAAATAGAATGTCCGACTCATGGTACGAGGAAGGTCCACACTGTCTTAACCTCATAGTAAGTAGAAAAGAAGTATATACTGGGCAAACTGATGTACAAAACGGGCACATGTGTGCAAATCCGGAACCAACCATATATCCAGGAACCTGACATCTGGATGATGGTAGGAAGAAATGTGCCAATGTGGCAGGTCACATAAAACTCAATCAGACTGGCACCTCATTGTGCCACATCAGCGTCAGGCAGTGAAAACACCCTGAGGTGAAGTGCAAGAGGGAGAACCATCACCTCAATCAACATTATCTTCAAGATAGGACAGCGCCAGAGCAAAATGTCATCCTCTGGGTCCCAGTGCAGGGAAGCTGATAGTCTCTAAAAACATATGGCAACCTCACCCTCCTCATAGCTCCACAAAGAAGCAGGGCAAAACACCAACCTCTGGAACTCACTGCATAAAGGTGAAGAAGAGGAATACAACCAACAAGTGTGAAGATTTATGTTGATTGGTCCAGCTTGAATCCAAAACCATTCATTGGGACCTAACATCTAGATGCTGGTAGGATGAGAGATCCCAATCAAAGGGGTGAACTGCAATGTGATGGATCTACTCCAAAGTAACATCATCCCCTGGACAGGAATGCACTGATGTTGGAGTGCACAGGCACCCTCTAGGTCCCACTGCACCAAAGTGAATCACATCTAGAAAATATAAGCAACTGCACTCTCTGGAAAGCACTGCACAGAATCTGGGTGAAACATCAACCTCTGGAACCCATCACACGGAGGTGGAGTACATGATTGGAGGATCACATGCCACCTACACAAGTAGAACACTACCGATCTACTCTTAACTGAATGGAAGCAATCACAATCAGGAGGATTCCTCTATGGTCCACCACTCCAGTGGCTCAGAATCAAAAAGTGGCAAGGACTACCATGCTCTGCTAGAAGAACAAGGGGGGACAAAGTGTGAAAGAGAGTCTGTAGGAACTGCAACACCGGAAACAGTGCAACAGGTGACCACAAAAACCCTATTTTGAAAAGCAGAGCACTTTTGATTTATTCAGTTGCAAGAAAGGCACTGATGGGCAGCTATCCCCTTGTACTTTATCCATGTATATCCATGGGATGGGCATACTTATGAAGAAAGTACATTGTGAGATAAACCTACTAGTAATCTCATGGAACACCCCATCTCAACAGTGTACATCATTGACCAAGGTTTTATATCTTGGCCGTACAGTGCAGATTTGAGAGATACCTGAAGCATACCTGGACAGGCAATGCTCACCACAGAGTGGTATTTTCATCCTAAATGGGACATACCACTGAAAGGAAATATATGTAAAGAAAAGATAACTTACTCAGTCATAACCACACTGAAGTTTGAAGGATGGCAACATGCTGATGGTGGTACCATAATGAGGAAGAAACAGCTACCCAATGAAGATAGTGGGCGATGAACATATGAAGTGTAGTCCACATGCCTCACTAAAGAATTTCCTCCAATGGATAATGGAGGTGAGATGCCAGGAAAAAATAAGGTGCCTGATCTGATGCGACAACACCTGGAACAGAAATTGGGAAGAAAGAGACAGGGAGGAATAAATCAACAGAATCAGCTGATGAACCCATCTTGGAAGAGTAGAAGGAGAAAGGTCTCGTACAGATGAACAGTATCAGGGAATGAATGTGAACCACTAAAGGAGGCCATATGAGAAATGTAACAACAAAGAGAACATACTGGATATAGAATTATATCTAGATCAGACTGGGAATAAAGGTGGGAAATGGATGGAAGTGAAATCAGCAAGAAGGAAGAATGTTCCTCATGAGCTGCTGAAGTTTAGGGTGGGAAGATTGATCTGGATAAAGTAGAACATGTGGGGAATGGAAAAAATGCATGTGAAATGTTGATGGCAAATATATCAGACTGACAATACCCATAGACTAAAAGGGAGTAGGAATAAATCTGAATGGATAGGTGAAACATGGAACAAGAGGACAAAGTTCAAACAGAGGGAGTGGAAGACAATGAAGAACAAAAATGACATTACAATCTGAAAGAACCATATGACAAGGAGGTCTATGAAACTGGAAGCAACATAAAAGGTACCACTTGGTCCAGTCCTGAATGAGAACATCCACTGCCAGAGCCTGAAGATAAAGAAATGGAGACCAAAAAATTGGTAACATGGTATTTGAGTAAAGTGGTAAAAGCATCCAGATGAGGAGTACCTCACTGACTGCTAGCCACCTGAAAACAACAGACAACTCCCTGGGATAAACCTGGTCAGGTCTTAAAAACCGATTCCCCACAAGGTGAAAAGCACCCGGAACATGAAACACAAGGAGACTTATCCTCAGCAATGTTGGTCCCATAAAGGAGTTCTAATGGTCCACCATAAATGGAACAGGAATGAGTGTCCCACGAGTGACTGATACAGGCCACAATGGTGGAATTGTTGGAATGGAGCATCACATGTCAGTTCAGTATCAGAGGAAGAAAATGCACCAAAGCATGTCATACCACCAGAAGCTCCTAGATGTTGATATGATAAACAGTTTGATTAGAGACCATTGTCCAGAAGCCTCCTGATGACGTACTCATGCTCCCCAACCGTGAAGAGAAGCAGTACTCCTATAGTTTTGTTGTCTTTGTTCAACTACCAATGGAGATTGTCTGTAATGAAAGGAGGAAGAGTAATTCGGGAGTCCAAGGGATCCTGAGTAATATTCCATTGGTTGTGCAGAATTCACTGAAGAGAACACATATGTATCTAATACAAAGAGATAAGGGCTTCCAAAGTAGCCCAAGTTCTCAAAAGCGATTGAACCTCGCATGAAGAAACAGAGGGAGCAGCAAGTGCATGGAGAACTGAAAGTTACATCAAGTGGAGACGAAGTACAGAAGGTTGGGCCCGAATGAGGAGAGTGTTGAAAAATACACCCAATAGGATAAGATATTAGGTAGGCAGAAAGAAAGACATCTCCAACTTGAGAGTCCAAATAACATGAGCTGCATCTATCAGCAGCAGATGTGTGTGTTGAAAAGACTCCAGTTCATAATGAGCTAACAGGAGCTAGTTGTCCATGTAGTGGTGTAAACTCAATCATCAAACACGCATAAGCTGGGCAAAGGCCTTGATCACTCAATAAAACACATACGGTACTGAATAAGGCCCAAAAAGCTGATATGGAACCCCATAGTGGACAAACCAAAGATGGCATCTAAGCTGATGAAAAATAGGAAAATGGAGATAGGCGTTCGAGACATCTACCATGGTTATCCACATTCCTGAAGAAAAAGCCCACCTGAATGTGATAAAGGACTCCATGGTAAATTGGAGAAGATCCAGGTATTGGTTGAAGCAGGATAGATGGATCACAGGATGCCAGTCCCCCGATTTGTTTTAGGAACAACAAAAATCCTGGAGAAGGCTGGCTGACAGGCTCCATATACCTCTGTGATAGAAGGGTATGCATAGTCTCAGGTAGATGCAGACAGGTAGTGGGGTCTCGAGTTAATTGGAAGGAAATCGGTACAGAAGACAATGATGATAGGGAAAGGAAATAGATGTAAAGTCCTTCTGACAAAACTGGGATCACCCAAGAATCAGCAGTGAATACCCACCACAAGGGAAAAAAAATTGGCCAAATGTGCCCCCACTGGACAGGAAAAGACCTGACAGTCACTGGAACTGCTGGCAACAATGAACCCCGATGTCAAGACACATGGCACAATTTTGAACAGAACAAGAAACCATTATGGGAGATGTCATGGGATCAGAATGAGATAAACCACCAACCAAAGACTAAAGGGTCAAATTTGGTCTCACAGGTTCTACACGTGGTTCCAAATTCAGAAAAATCTCCAAAAACAGACAAATGGAGAAAAGGAGCCATCTATATGTCATGAAGATAAGTGGAAGTTAGCTGAACTTGTGACAAGACAGCATCCTTCCCAATAATATCCCAACAGCAACAAAACCACATATGAAGGGATAGGGCTGAAGAGGACAATCGCACCAACATGGAGGTAAGGAAGGAAAAGATATCCCTCCCAAAACCCTCAGGCAATCAGTGGAATGCCTCAAAAAGAAGGTGTATGATGGACAGGTACTGTAGAAGAATTGTAAAGATAAGACAAAAGTGGGAAACTGGATTGGGAGAAATGGATAGGATTTTCAGAAACAGCCCCCCCACATTGGAAAAAGTGACTCCAACTGCTGGAAGCTTGCTAATAAGCCAAAGCATAATGATCATAAGCCCATGAAGGATGAGACATACTAACCCCAGACCTCAACTGAAAAACAAAATGATGAGCATGAACCCTGATGTGAGGAAAAGGAGGTAGAACAAGGTACTCTAAAGACGGGTGTCAAATATGAAATTGGTGAGAACAGAACACACCTGAGAAAGTATATCTAAAAAGGCAAAGTTAGGCCTGGGAAAACACAGGAGAGTTAAGAGAAGGAAAAAATGACAGGAGAGTCAAATTCCTCCTCGTCAAGAACAGGTTCAGTCAATGCAGGAGGAAACTGAACATTTTCAGGAGAAGAAGGATGACCATATACGATTAATTTCCCGATGAATGATAGCCAGAAAATCCTCAGTTGAGACCATCAGACATGAAACCTGTGTAATGGCACTCGATTTTAATGGCAAAAATATCAGAATTTATAAAACCCAAATTTCAAAATTCATCTTAAACTGTAAAGTCAAAAATGAGAAACAAAATCCATAAACAAATGTAAAGTATTGCAGCAAACTACTACAGAAAACTAACTGTAGCAAAGGAATAAATCAAGTAAATCACAACTTCGCAAAAAGAAAAATGAAATGAACACAGTTGAAAAACATCTGCACTCGATTACTGCCTAACAAGCAGTGATAGATCAGCAGAATCGAATAGAGGGAGTCACAGGCATCAGGAGGGGTATGTCGTACTCCTATTGGTGGAGGGTTGTCGCATGATGATTTACATGCGAGATGCAGTTGATTCACATTGATTGTGGCATATGTGGGAGTTCAAGGCTTGTTGTATGCAAAAACACTTTTGTGTATAGAGGGCAGCATTGAAAGAGAAAAGCTATACATGTGAGAAGAGGTAATGTACCATACTAGAAAGAACAATTTATGTTTGTTATTTATATGCATAGTTATATCACTGTTAGTTACATTTGCAAATTTCTATCTTTACACATAAAATTTTTATTTATATACAGAAACAATGATATGTAGCAGTTTAAAAAACATGGCAAAAATATAAAAAAACAAATATGTCTAATTTAAAAAAAACATTAAAACATACCTTCATCAAATGCTAATGGTAAACAACCAGCTACATCTTCATCCCACCATCTTGTGTAACTACACAACATAAAAACAAAAGTGTTTAAACTCCAAGAACATTACACCACCTCTTTCATTTTAAGTAAATGATCAGCTTTTATGTGAAATGTTATATATAAGAAGTAATACAATTAGGTATTCAACCAAAAAGAAAACAATATGCCACTGTCATGGTTAGCACCCTATGTAATCTCTTAAGTCTAATTTAACATCAATTAATTACTAGTTGCTGACTAGTTTATAATCCTAAATTTCAGCCACTAATCTGCTGTACTCTTCAGGGAAGCCCAAAGAAGGACTGTGTTTTGTAGTGCTAGTGGTCAGAATTCAATGTGGGGTCATCTTGATAGAAAGGGTGTGTTATCCGTTCATCTGATGTCTCCTCCATTAGGAACTAATACAACTAACTACATAAATGCTTCAAAAGGGATATCCAGGTTTTGCCAACTTCTATGCTAGGTTGACTGTTTGTGTATCATTTAGGTAAATCTAGAAGACTTTTTTGGTGTGTAGTTTATAACACAGTATTTTAATATTATTCCATTTCATTGAATGGTATTTTCTGGTATGATGGACTATTGTATATAGATTAGTATTACAAGTTTTTAAGTCTATTATTCTACTTAATTCTAACTTCTGACATTTTGTTTTGTTTCACCAATTAATAGGATTCCACATTCTAAAGAGACGTAGTATATGGTGTTTTTGCTCTCCATTTAATATTTAAGTGATATGATGTGTAGTAACTGCAGTCATATTGAGTTGTGGCTTCTAAGTACTGTTCCGTATTTATGCTGTCTACGTATCCTTTGTACATTTTTTGAGAGACCTTTGACATAGAGGAATATAGCATGTGTCTGCAATTTTCTTCCAGCTTCTCTTTGGTGTTTATCTTTTGTTACTTATTCTTATAAAGTTTTCAGGGTATCCACTGTCAAAGATGGTAATACAAATGTTTTTCATCCTTTTTCTTATCATCTTCCTATGAGAACTCTTGATCAGTCTGGAAACCAGTCTGTGATACCTACCAGTATCTATGGTTTTCCTGTAAACCCCTGTGGTATATGATTAGTGTAATAATGGTTGGAGACGGCTTGACTAGGTAATGAAGAAAAACTTTGATATAAGTTTAACATAACAGCAAATGTACAACCTTGTCGAAACGTTGTACATTTGCTCTTATGTTAAACTTATATTAAAGTTTTTCTTCATTACCCATTCAAGCTGTTTCCGACCATTATTAGTCTCAAAGTGGGTTCCTCGTCATCCAATATGATTAGTGTGTTTTAGTAACCATCATATCTAAGAATGGGTGTTCTTTATTTTGTCTTATTTCTATTATGAATTGTATTAGTGGTTATTGCCTTTCAAAGTGATTCAAGAATTCTGGAAACTTGTCTATATTGTGTGGCTATATTACAAAGTCAGAAAAACCTGTATATTCCTTTTGAAATTAATTAAATAATTAGGTGATTAAAGTCATAACAGATAACAAACTAGCTTTTCCACCAAGAAGACCCAACATTGAATTCAGGCAACTACCACTACAAAACATAGCCCTTCTCAACATCTGAAGATAGTAGTAAGTTAGCAGTTGAAAGTTATTATTTTCCTATCCTGAAAATGTATTTCCAATAGGTACTTACCTCCTTTCACATAAACAGCTATTCTCATTCAGTGCTGCCTTCTATATGCAAAAACATTTTTCACATGCCACAAGCCTTGAAGCTTTCACTCATCTCTGAATCAAATGATTCAAATGCATCTCACATGCAAATAATCATATGACATCCCTCCACCAATAAGAGTGTGGCACACTTGACACATGTGACTCCTTCAATTCAATTCTACCAAACTATCACTTCAGAAAATGGAAGCACCCGATTTCAGATGGGGAGCGTGAGAGAAATACATTACCTCCTCTCATATAAATAGCTGGAATCTCACACTGAAAAGGTGGAGGGAAAGAAGTATTCTTCAAAAGCATCCGAAGGACATCCTCAAAGAGTAGATTCTCAAAGTAGAAGATCATATGTGGGAGACCACAAAACTTTTGTACCAGGTATATTTTACCGACCATTGTGGAAAGATGGAGGAGTACATCCAAGTGGGAGAGAACTATTGGAGGATAGTGATCCAAACCATATGATATTTATTAAACTCAATCCCAGAAAACATAAAAGTGGGTAAGATTAAAGGATGTACCCCTACGTGTAGAGTGGTTAAGGCACAACGGTCCATACACAGCAGGTCAACTACACCCAAAACCAATGCCACTGGGAACTGACATCCACAAGGGGGTAGCATGAGGTTCATACCATTTGTAAGTCAATTACAATCCAAAACCCGGCCACCAGATACTGACATCCATGTGGCGGTAGGAAAAAAGATCATACCGCCAGCAAATCGACTACAACCCAAAACACAGGCCACCAGGAAACGACATCCATGTGGAGGTAAGAAATAGGATCACACTGTCTTCACCTGAGTTCATGAGACTGGAGGGAATCACGTACGCCACTACCAATGAACGGGGCACATGATAACAATGTGAAAAACTTGTTGATCAATTTGGGAACCTGACATCCTGCTTTGAAAAGATGTCTGTGTACTATAAACCATCTCACTCAAATTAAAATGATAGGAACAACCCCAAGTGCAGTAACATCCTTAGAATAATAAGAACATCGAAGGAAGGGGAAGAACCGTAGTAATTTGGAAGTACTCTCATCATGATACACAACATGGATAGAATAACAAGAGTATAAGTGAGTGAGGGAATAGACACATCTATAATACATGTGTGAGGACTTACGTTGATTGGTTCAGCTCTAATTCCAAAACTAAGCCATTGAGAACTGACATCCATGTGGGGGTAGGATGAGGGATCCTAATCAAAGGAGTAAACTGCAATTTTGATGGCTTACTCCACTGTTACATAGTGGAGGATATCTCGTCATCTACACCAGCAGAACACCACCGTCCTACTCTCAACTAAATGGTTTTATAATGATGTATATACATTATTACTTGTATTTCATTAACACATTCAAGAGGATGCTTCCATGGTTTATCACCCCTGTGGCTTAGAACTGGAAAGTGGTAAGGACTCTCAAACTCAACTAGAAGAAAAGAGGAGTGAAAGTGTGGTGGAGTGTCCAGAGAAATGACAACTCCAGAGACAGTGCAATGGGTGACCATGAAACCCTATTTTGAAAAGCAGACCATACCAATTTATTCAATACAAGGTATGGCAGGGATGGACAGCTATCCCCTTCTGCTTTAATCATGTAGTCCATCGGTGAGTATGGTCTGGGTTGGGCAAACTAATGAAGCAAACATACTGCAAGGATAAACCTACTGGTGATCTTGTGGAACACCCCATCTCAGCAGGGTACATTTTTTGGTCATGGAAATCATAATATGTAAGTCGACATAGTGTTACAGTGCAGATTTGACTAGTTTAAGTACACCTGGACAAGCACCAGAAAGAAAAAAGAGGGACATGCTCCTGAAAAATAAGAGGTATATATATATCCTAAGAGGTAACTTACCCAGTCACAATCTCACGAAAGAGTGAAAGATTGCAACAGGTGGATGACGGTACCCTGACAAGCAGAGAATGGGAGATTAATGTATGAGATGTAGTTCCAGTGCTCCACAGATAAAATACCTCCAGGTAGACATACAGGGAAAAGAGAAGGTGTATGATTAGAATGAAGACGGGAAGAAGGAGACATGGAATAAAAGGCCAACTGAATCACAATCCAAACCCAATGGATAAGGGAAGAAGGGTGAAAAAAAAGACAAAGAAGTGGAGTAACGGATGGAAATCATGGAAAATGGATTCAATGGAAAGAAGCCTTGAAAACAATGAAGCAACCCACAGCATGTAATAAACAGAGAAGGTCATCTGAATCCCATGGAGAAGAAACATGGAAGATGGTAAGAAATGAAAAAGTCAAATGAAAGATATCACGAGCCATTAAAATGTAGGTTAGTAAAATAAAAAAATAATAAAAAATCAAGCCAAAATAGCCAAGAAAACCAAAGCAGTGCCAGCCAGGAAAGGTCAATCAGAAAGACCTGAACCAGAGTGACATGGATGCACAAAAATTTGAGTAAGAAGACTGACAGAATGAGAAAAAACTAACATTAGAAGCTGGATGTAAACCTGTCTGAACTTAACAACAGCCAGGGCAAGTGGATGATGAATTAGAGGCCAAAAGCAAAAGAAGTAACTAACTAGAAAGTGATAAAAGATTTAATAACTTCACATAGAGGAGTACCCCACAGGAAGCAGAGCCACCAAAAATTAGGAGGATCCAGAGTTCACTTCTTGGGAGAAAGTGTGTCGGGACTGGAAAATCAATTAGCAATGAGGACAAAGCACCCAGAGCATGACCCTCCAGGAAATGTATGTTAAGAATATGGGTTCAAAAAGGAAATCCACTGTTTACCACAAAGAGAACAAGAATGAATGTCTTCTTAGTGAGTGATATAAGCTTCCACCATCAAATAGTCGAAATGAAACAGGGTTAGTCAAATCCAGACAAGATGAAGAGAGTGAACTAAAGCACCTTGGACTGGTAGATGTGCCCAGGTGTGAATCAGATAAGACCTTTCATCTGTAGACCATTGTCCTGAAGCCTCCTACTGGAGATGAGCATCAGGGAAGAGAAAAAAATCCATAAGAGGGGGGAAGGAAGTGGTAAACCTGACATCGTGGGAGATATGTTCAACTATCAACACATATAGACAAAGAAGGAAGGTTGAAAATTGATATGAAAACCCAAAGTACAGGCTCGAATAACAGAAAACTCCTTAAAATACATTTGTGGAGGAGAATGAATGGTCCTGATGGAGGGGGTGTTTAAAAATACCCACCAAAAGAGACTAGAATGTCAGGTATGTAACAGGAAAAATTTATACAACTACCTGAATTGACTGTGGAAGGAGTAGATGAGTATGTTAAACTACCCCCATTTGGAAGGAGCTAACCAAAGCTAGACATCCAATGAATGGTGTACGTAAAATCTCCCTAAGTGTAGAAGACGGATAAAATACAGATTGCCCCACAAAAGACACATGGAACCAAAACAAGTCCAAAGGTCAAGGCATGAAACTGGTACCCAATCATGTGGTGAAAAAACAGAAGATAAGTACGTGTACAGTGGGCATTCTCAGTCATACAAAAATAGCCTACCCAAATGTGATCAAAGACTACAAATTAAAATGGAGAAGATCCAAGAAGTGATTGAGGTGGACTGATCAATCCAGAACCCCAATCAGCATCAAGCATACAAGACAAAACAAGAAAACACATAGGTAAAGGATGGCAAGGTGTTAAACATGTAAAATGAATAAAGATGATTATATCTCAGAATGAAACAATAGAGCAACTAAAAAAAATAGAATACAGCATCCTTGATACCCCATGTGATGCTAAATGTACAGGAGTAGCTCAAAAAAATGGATCAGTGAAGAAAAAGAACTGTCCATAAGTTCCTATTACCAACAGATGGTAAAGAATCAGCAGTGTCCCATCCCACCCTAGAAGATCCCCAATGTAAAGAAGCCACGCGTGGAGGGAAAGAAATGAAGATGGCAAACACACCAATATGGAGGGACAAAAGAGGACGTATCCCACGAAAATCCCTAAATATAAGTGGAAGACCAAAGAAAGGATATGGAAGGTAAACATTAACTATTGCAAAGTCGATAGGGTAAAACAAAGCTAAAAAAATTGATAGGATTAATAGAGGTATGAATGATATAAAATCAGGATGAAAATCTGCTTGATGGTAAGCTAAGACAAAAAGAATTAAAGCCTGTAATTTGTTTTTGTAACGTTATACGAAAAAATGTATAATTTGTTTTTGTAATGTTGTATTAACTAATGTATAATATTTGTTTTTGCAATTTATAATGTTGTATCAAACAATGTATAATTTGTTTTTTAATGTTGTACCAAAAAAGGTATAATTTGGTTTTGTAATGTTGTATCAAAAACATGTATAATTTGTTTTTGTAATGTTATATCAAAAAATATATAATATGTTTTTGTAATTTGTAATATTGTATCAAACAATGTATAATTGGTTTTTGTAATTTGTAATGTTGTATCGCAATGTATATTTGTTTTTGTAATTTTTTTATCAAAAAATATATAATTTGTTTTTGTAATTTGTAATGTTTTATCAAAAGATGCATAATTTGTTTTCATAATGTATCAAAAAATGTATAATTTGTTTTTGTGATGTTGTATCAAAAATATGTATAAATTGTTTTTATAATGTATTCGGAAAATGTATAATTTGTTTTTGTGATGCGTCAAAAATGTATAATTTGTTTTTGTAATGTTATATAAAAAAATATAATTTGTTTTTGTAATGCTATATCAAAAAATGTATCATTTTTTGTAACTTGTAATGTTGTATCAAGCAATGTATATTTGTTTTTGTAATGTTATATCAAAAAATGTATAATATGTTTTTGTAATGTTCTATCAAAAAAATTTATAATTTGTTTTCTAATTTGTAGTGTTGTATCAAAAGAATGCATAATTTGTTTCTGTCATGTTCTATGAAAAAATATATAATTTGTTTTTGTAATGTATCAAAAATGTATAATTTTGGTTTATGTAATTTGTAATGTTGTATCAACCAATGTGTAATTTCTTTTTGTAATGTTGTATTAACCAATGTATAATATTTGTTTTTGCAATTTGTAATGTTGTATCAAACAATGTATAATTTTTTTCTAATGTTGTACCAAAAAAAAACATGTATAATTTGTTTTTGTAATGTTGTATCAAAAACATGTATAATTTGTTTTTGTAATGTCATATCAAAAAATATATAATTTGTTTTATAATTTTTAATGTAGTATCAAGCAATGTATATTTGTTTTTGTAATGTTATATCAAAAAATGTGTAATTTGTTTTTGTAATTTGTAATGTTGTATCAAACAATGTATAATTTGTTTTGTAATGTTATATGAAAAAATGTGTAATTTGTTTTTCTAATATTTTATAAAAAATGCATAATTTGTTTTCATAATATATGAAAAACGTATAATTTGTTTCTGTAATGTTTTATCAAAAGATGCGTAATTTGTTTTCATAATGTATCAAAAAATGTCTAATTTGTTTTTGTAATTTGAAATGTTGTACCAAGCAATATAAAATTTGTTTTTGTAATTTGTAATGTTATATGAAAAAATGCATAATTTGTTTTTGTAATGTTATATGAGAAAAATATATAATTTGTTTTTGTAATATTGGATCAAAAATGTATAATTTGTTTTGTAATGTATCAAAAAATGTATAATTTGTTTTTGTAATGAATCAAAAAATGTAGTTTGTTTTTGTAATGTATCAAAAGATGCATAATTTGTTTTCATAATGTATCAAAAAATATATAATTTATTTTTGTAATGTTGTATCAAAAAATGTATAATTTGTTGTCATAGTTTGTAATGTTGAATAAAAAATATCTGATTTGTTTTGTAACTTGAAATGTTGTATCAAGCAATGTATAATTTGTTTTTGTAATTTGTAATGCTATATCAAAAAATGCATAAATTGTTTTTGTAATGTTGTATCAAAAAATGTATAATTTGTTTTTGTAATGTTATATCAAAAAATATATAATTTGTTTTTGTAATGTTATATCAAAAAATGTATAATTTGTTTTTGTAATGTTATATCAAAACATGTATAATTTTTTTGTAATTTGTAATGTTGTATCAAGCAATGTATATTTGTTTTTGTAATGTTATATCAAAAAATGTATAATTTGTTTTGTAATGTTATATCAAAACATGTATAATTTATTTGTAATGTTGTATCAAGCAATGTATAATTTGTTTTTGTAATTTGTAATGCTATATCGCAATGTATACTTGTTTTTGTACTGTTGTATGAAAAAATGTCTAATTTGTTTTTCTAATGTTGTATTACAAACGTATAATTTGTAATGTTGTATCAAGCAATGTATATTTGTTGTTGTAATGTTCTATCAAAAAATGTATAATTTGTTCTTGTAATTTGTTATGTTTTATCAAAAGATGCATAATTTGTTTTTGTAATGTTTTATCAAAAGGTGCATAATTTATTTTGTAATATTTTATCAAAAGATGCATAATTTGTTTTCATAATGTATCAGAAAATGTCTAATTTGTTTTTGTAATTTGAAATGTATCAAGCAATATATAATTTATTTTTGTAATGTTGTATATAAAAAAAATGTATAATAAAGATGTATAATTTGTAATGTTGTATCAAGCAATGTATATTTGTTTTTGTAATGTTTGTTTATTCTGGGTGGAGCTGAAAGGTATAAACAAGGTACTAAGTAGAGGTAGTTACAATATAGTAGAATGGTAAAAGGAATGTACCATGTTGGTATTTTAACATACTAAATTGTATATTGGTAGTTTCATTACATATTATTACTATGTAGTAAGAATGTCTCTGGTTGTCCACACTGTTATGTATAAGTTATGTAAATTGGCTACGTAATTAGCACCAAACCACTATGTTATTCATACAAATTTATTACATAAATGTGTTTGCTGGGATGGTAAGCCTAAGTGAATGGTATAGGAGAAAAGATACAACTAAGACTAATTGCTAATCTGAACTTGTCTATGAGTATTAACCAATCTAATGAAACTTATGTTATGGAACCCAAATAGCTACAGATAATAATACTAACAATAAAATTATTCAAAAACCATAACAGTATAAGGTCTTATCTTTCCAATGTTGGGGGACTGTATTTCAAAATGTGTGGCCCCAAAACTCGAGGCAAGGCTGACAGAGGTCCGTTCATTGGACGATTAATCTCCCAACGAAGTAAAGCTGATAAATTCCCTATGGAATAGCGCCATCTAAATCCTGTATAAATGTACTGACAGAAAATATAACCTTTAAAGTGGTAACGTAGAATTCATAACTCAAAATTAACAATCACACACCATTGTGTTGGCAGAAATAAATATAAAGTTGTTGTAATGAAGTAATAAGTTCCTTAACTGGGTAGAAATATAAAATAACTCCACTTTGGAATAACTCAACAAATTACAAATATCATTATTGTATAATAAATTGTAAATGTGTTGAGAGAAATGGATACAAAGATATGGAAAAAAAAACACTTGAAGAGAGCACAAACTAAATGCTACAACACGAGTACTGCCAAATCAGAAGTTGTAGTTTGGTAGAATTAAATACAGGAAGTCACATGCATCACATTCTTTTTTGGTGGGGGGTTGTTACATGATGCTTTGCATGCGAGACACACTTGAATCAGTCGATTCTGAGATGGATGGGAGCTTCAAGGCTTGTAACATGCTAAAAAATGTTTTGCATATAGAGGCAACACTGAAGAATATGTGAGAAAAGGTAATGAACCATATCAGGATATAAGCTAGTTTTAGTCTAATTAAAAATATTTTTTATTCACCAAGAGCAGTATCTAGAAATATATACATACATGTAAGTACATGGTGAAGCAACTTTGTTTCTCTGTTGTTTTTTTTAACTTTCCATATGAACAGTATTTTATAAGCATTAAACATAGCACTGTCTCTCTTCGATTTGCAACAGCACAAAAAAATATTGGTTTCTGTACCAAAAAAACTTGTGCTCATGAGCACAATTATGAAATTAATACTTACAGATTTCTGTGACATACAATTTTTCCAGCTGCAGTAGGATTATGTAGATAATAATCTGTTGGTAGGTCCCACAATGGAGTATGGTGATTATTTGGTTGGTAAACTTGCAAAAAAAGGTTGATAGCATTTTGTTTGTCTGCATCTATAAAAGGTTCAACCAGCAGCCACCAAATTAAAAGTATGATTTAACACCTCTAAATGAACAGATATTTTTGCTGGGATTTTCATGAATACATTGCTCAAAGTGTGCTTAAATGAAACTCTAATAACTTTTTACATAATTGAAAACAATATTTATGAAAATCACATTCTGTAATAATTTAATAAATGTAAACAGAACATTTAAAAAGGTATAAAGAACATGTCCTACAAACTCTCCAGGATGTACAATTTTAAAAATATGTCTATTAAATATAACTATCAAGTCATCTTGTATTTCAATAACTATGAATACACCTTGTTAGATACACAAGACTGTTTCATTTAAATTTAATATGATCATTATGATTTAGATTGTTATAAAGCACAAGTGTTAAATTTAGTATTTTAAGAAGTGATAATTTCTCACAGGTTTTATTACATAACTGTTTATGAATCATTTGTTGCATAGTTCAATTGTTATGAATTGACGTCATGTTACTTGAACCTCATGTGAGTACTGTTACATTAGAATGTCTCATAGTTTGTAGAAAACTCTAGTACTTAGTTGGGCAATATATATATATAGGCAACCAAGTTAGTACAAGCGAAGTAAGTTAGAGAAAGTAAAAGTGAAAAACAGTGAAGTTAGACTGCATGATTGTGAGTTTAGCCATAAAGAGAGCATTGTGGTAATTTCTAAAGTGAGTTTCACAGTTTGTATTGTAATAACAGAGACAGAGGAGAATAATTTGTCTTGTCAAAGGTTGCTCTAAAGTAACTGAACTCGCCTGTGTAAATTTTGAGAAAGAGACAATTATTTAAAGCTCTGGATACAACAGTGATAACCAATAGTGTAATTAATTTCTGTACATACGTTTGACTTGTTTTGAATGTATATTATTTTAAAACAAGAGGATTGTGTGCTGCATGTCCATATGTTGTTGAAATTTATCGACAACAAGTCACAGACACCTACTGTAAAGAATTCTGGCCCTATAAAACCTGACACACTTAGTAACAGATAAGTCTCAAAAAAGTTTGTTAATGATTACAAAACAGCCATCAACAGTTACTGGTTTTAATGTAATAAAAATAGAAACCTTTGAATTTTATTCATTAGTAACAGCAATGACATTGTCATGACAGATTAATTATTATCAATAAGATAAGATACACCTTCAAAATGTAATTGTAGGTTATCAATAACAATTCAGTAACTTAAAATATTATCCTATTTATCATTAGTTTAAATTAAGCCCCTTTAATATAACTCTGTCTTTTATACAAAATAAGTAACATTAAATGGTAATAATAGTGAATTCATTAGAAACATCATTTGAGTTACACTGCACAAAAGAAAGTATATCAAAGATAAAGTTAGCATATTTTGACAACAAAACAAGGCTATTTCATACAAAATGTATTTGATATAAAAATCAATAGTTAGTGCACTGTTAGGACAGCTTACTATCTATCCCAGATTCACAAGTAACACAAATGTGCACTCACACACAAGTCTGTATTTTCACCACCAAATTAAGTCTAATATTGTGTGATCACCAAGTGTATTAATATGTGCTAGTACAGGCCTCCACATGTAGCCAGTTAGCGAATGGATGATGTCATGAAGAACCTGTCTCAACTGCTCCAAAATGGCTTGCTTCAGTTCTTTTCTGTTAATTGGTGGGTTTTGTCACCTCCTTATTCTTCTGTCTACATGATCTCAGAGATGTTCTATTGGTGACAAGCTTGCCATTGTAGATCATCGATCTTGTTAGCTTGGATGAACTGTTGTACCACCCTTATTGTGTAGGTCCTGGGGTTGTTGTGTTGAAACAAACTACCCTGGGACAGTTAGAAGATGAAAAGCAGAACAACAGATCATAAGGTTTCATTCATGTAATGCTGACCAGTGACAATACCATCGACTACAGTAAGTGAGGTCCACTTTTCCCCCATACTTCCTTCCCACACCATGATGATTGCTCACCCAAGTAGCTCTGTCTCCTGTACACAACACTGGGCTTTTTGATACCCTCTATGATGATATGCACAGACACTGCCATCAGCTCTGTATAACATAACATAATGTTTTGGGACAACATAAAACCTATTGTTCCATCTTCGCTGTCCCATTGTCTAAACTAAACTATTCATAAATGAATATAAAAAAAAATCTTAAAGCCAGCCCTTATCATTCATATACTTATCAAGCTTTCTCTTAAACTCAATTTAATTTACTGAATCCACAATGTCTGAAGGCAACCCATTCCAAAGACCAACCCCACTGTTAGAAAAATATAACTGTCTTAGCTGAAGATGACTCCTACCTTGCCAAAATTTATATTTGTGTCTGCTAGTCCTACTATTCCCATTGTTAACTATAAAAAAGATGATATATCAACACTATCAATTCCTTTACAATCTCAATCACTTCAATCAGATCCCCCTAACTCTTTTTTTTTTTTCAAGAGAAAACAATTTGA